AATGGTGTCGATTTAACCAAACTGGCTTAAACGAAAAATGTCGCAAAAAAGTTTCAGGTTGTTAAGGTTTCTTATTTTATTTCTTGTTTTCTCCTTAACTCAGAACCCAGCTAACGATTTTAGCAAAATTGGATGTTGCTTAGTTTTTCTTCATGAAGTATGCAGTGATTATGTTCCTATTAGGTTAAATCATACAGGGCGTTCATTTTACTACAACCTTTTGTGAATATTCTTCTGTAACTTTTTTGTACGTTTAAATTTTTACACGCAGCTGCAATAAATAGGTAGATAATTTTATTCTACACAAAACATGTATACCTATCAAAAGTCGAAATTATGCTCTGTTATGAAGACATTACAGAAAATATTTATTAACACGTATTATTTTTTGGAAATAACTAACGTACTCATAATAAATAACATAATTAATAACATTAATTTATAATAAGTGTTCTACGTGTCTCCCATTTTCTTCGACACGTTTTATGAAATTGTAGAGAATAGGAAATGAATACGTTCGTCTAACTTGTCGTACGGTGTCTTTTATTCTATCCCAAAGTTCGTTTCTCTTATTAGGTGTTACAGGGTTGTAAACAATTCATTTATGACACCAAAAGTAAAAGTCTAACTTATTAAATTCCGGACAACGAAAAGGCCAAGGAAAGTCACTACCTCGACCAATTTGGAAATGCTTGATTTAAATGTTCTCCCCAAATGGGTGTAATGAGCAGGGACACCATTGTGCATGAAAAACATTTGTCGTTCAACCTTCCAGATAGAGGGATAGACCCCAAAATAAAATTTCCTGTAATTTCCAGTGTGGATTTTCTTTGCTCCATACGTGAAAGTTTTTCCAATTAAAAACACCTCTATGGGTAAAAACAGCTTCATGTGTAAGGCAATTCTCCCAAGAAAATGTCATTCCTGTTATGTAACTGTTGAAATCCTTCGCAAAATGTTAATCTTAGCGGGCGGTATGGTTCAAACAAATTTTGTACATGGTGAAAAGGGAAACATTCTAACTGTTGCATGTGGAATATAGTTGAAACGGTTTTACGGCCAACTCCTGTGACTGCTGATATAATGCATTTCATAATTCGTTAATTCGTTGTGACGAGGCATTTTCAGAAACAAACTTTTGCAAATACAAACTCGACAGTGACCATTGAAATTGTCATGTTGTTATGGACACGTAGTTATTTCCAAAAGATATGGGGTATGTGTTAAAAATATTTTCTGTAATATCTTCATAACCCAGCATAATGTAGAGCACCTTTAGAAAAAATTGCACGTTAAAAACAGCCACTACAAAAGTTTTCTTGCGAATGATTAAGTTAATTAAAATTGAAATAACTTCCAAACACTCCCTTTAACGCTATTCATTTCTGAAACACATGTTCCATTGAACTGAACTGAAATTGTAATCCGCTATAACTTTGGATATACACTTGTATAAAATTTTGTAGGAACACTCCTTTAACCCTATTATAAGAGTGACGTATTATTAAAAAACTCCCGAGTTAGTGTCCTATGGTTTCCATTAATCTTAAACGTGGGATATCCTGTTTTTACACTTTTATTGAACACGGTAGCAATGGCATTGGCAACATTAAACCACATGATTTATTCTATTGATGTGACAAATTTGCAATAATAACATTTTTAGTACATACTGTTAAAAAACTGAATATATATTCGGATTAATCTACGGAATAGACTTTAAGAACCCTCTATTTATCTCCTTAAGAAGAAAACTAGAAATAAAAAGAGAAACTTTAACACCCTGTAACTTTTTTGCGACAGTTTTTGTATAAGCAAGTTAAGTCAAATCGACACCATTTAGGTGCCCTTGAAGTATGTAACATTCGTTAGGTGACACCCTGTGTTTAAAACGAAAATATTGAAATAAATAGACATAATCCATTATTTGTAGTCAACATCTGTAAAAATTTATTTTTTGTGTAGATTCTATTACATAAGGAAGACGTCGATAAAAATAAAAGTTTTATTTTAATTTATACCGGTAGGCAGTTCAAAAAAGAAATATTTGCATATAAATGTTCAGTTAATGTAACGCATTAATGTACAATATAATGTTTACTACTTAGTTAACTTTTATGAACTAAAAGCTTTTATACTCCGTTTTTCGCCTTTATACCATATTAAAGCATAATTTAAGAACTGGTGACTTACATATGTCGTTAATTGACTGCTTACGCGAAAAAAAACAGGTGTTCCCATGTTTTGAATTGTTTAATATGTTAGTCAACTTGGTGCCCGTATAAATACTATTATATTACATTCTTACATAAAGGTCGGCTTATTTTAAACGAAGTTGCATAATATAATATAGTTATATTTGAGTTCCAAATAACTTTCACTATTTAATTTCAAAGATCTATCGCGATATTTAAATTAACTTAAAAGTTAATTACTTTTGCAGAGGTTAAATTCTACTTTACCAAGCAAGTATTCATAACTTGTTTTCGCACTGTTTCTAGTAAAAAATGGTATCACCTATCAAATAAAAAAAAAGTTGTCATTATTTCCCGAAAGAGGAAAAAGTTATGAACGGACATTATCACCACATCAATTTTGTAGGAGTTATGAGTTTCAAAAAACACTGTATAACACCAAAATGTGTAGATCGAAAACAAAAGTCCACACTCGATTGATACGTGTTCGAGTTATTTAGAAAATTCAAAAAATTTTCACGAACTTTGAGCGGCCAAACGAAGCTATTTCGGATATAGGTGAATTAGCCTAAATCTACCTATTTTGAGTCCACGAATCTGTGGTCTTCCATTGTACACGTTATTCTGAGACACATACATATATCCAGAACATAAGTATCAAACAATTGTAATAAATTTTTTGGGCAATTTCCTTAAATTTTTTTATGTACTAAGTAATAATATACTCTTTGTACATACTGCCAAGTATGTCTAATGTTATCCATAAGTAACATATTAAGTATGAGCCATAATGATACTACTGCAAGATAACCTTATACACAACTACCTTGTCCCACAAAAAACGAAAAGTGGTCTGTACTAAAGATTAGATCCATGTATCCTTAAGTATTTTGACGCTTTGAATCCGAATCCGGGACAGAATTTCTTATATCTATGGGATATTAGACAGAAAGAATCACTATGAACAGAAAGTGTCACAAAGAACAGATTTCCATCCAGGGTTGAGAAACATCATATGCGAAGTTGATCCTTCAAATATTCTGCTTCCACCTCTTCATATTAAACTTAGTCATGATATAGTTCTTTAAAGCTTTGAACAAAGATGGCGACCGTTTTGAATATTCAGGGGAGAATTTTCCGGAAATAAGTGATGTTAAACTGAAAGAAGGTATTTTCGATTATCCTTAAATCCGTACCGTACCATGTTCAGAGACGAAAATTTATCATAAAAATCAGAGGAGTGTGGATTATCACAATTTAATTGAGGAATTGTTGGAAAACTTCAAACAGTTGCTTGATGAACTTGAAATTGCATTTACTAGACGCTCATCTTGACTATTTTCCGGAGAACTTCGAAGACTATAGTGAAGAACAATGTGAATGGTTTCACCATGATATCAAGAAAATGGATCGTCAGTGTGAATGAAGATAAGATAATATTAATTTGATGGTAGATTTCTTTTGGATGCTCAAAACCAAAAACGAGCAAAAAACACAGAAAAGAGAAAGACGCATAGATCGTTTGAAAATAATATAGTTTGTTACAAAAGGAAGGAGTAAAAGAAATATCATTTTTTATCTGGAAACGGTGTTCACATCTTCAAATCTCTCATCTGCCTTTGCAGGCATCAAATGGCTGAAGTTCTCTCTCTGGGAAGCAATTTCACAGATTTTAGGGTTATTTTGTACGGCATAAAAATATTGGTGGGTGCTAGAGTAATTTCAACTTCGGCAAGTCGAAATATTTTCGGTATTTTCTGTATTTAAGGGCGGTTTTACGCGATCTAAAAAAAAATTAAGGGTGATGGAGCAATTCTGCTCTGGATTCGGATTCAGCGCGTCAAAATACATGAGGATACATAGGTCTAGTATTTGGAACTGACCACATTTCTTTTTTCTGTGCCTATAAATTTTCCATATTTTCTGTATTTAAGGGCGGTTTTTCGCCATTTAAAAAAATCGAGAGTGATGAGCAATTCTGGCCCAGGATTCGGATTCAGCGCGTCAAAATACATAAGGATGCATGGGTCTGATCTTTAGAACAGACCACTTTTCTTTTCTTTGTGGGACTGTGTTATTAGCATTAATATGCTTCAGCGCCACGAGATTTTCGAGAAACATATCTTGAATAATCAACGAACTAAGCTTCTCTACTAATTTGAAAAGCTCATCCCGAGATATATTTTCAATGTTCAATTTTGTTTGATTGAGAGTATACCTTTTTGTAAGAATGTACAATCGCCAACAACCCTGGTTCGTGATACTTCACTCACTAAATTTAAAAAAGAAGTTGCATTCAAAGATATTCTTAATAATATGCTAATTCCAGTATGCAGAACCATGCTTTTGCATTTACGTATACATATAGGACATAAAAATATATCATTAGTACTAACAGAGAATAATGACCATTGTCAATTCAAGCTAAGCAATGCAAAATAATATCAATTTACATGAAAGAGAACTATTGCCTTGATGATTTTCAATCGTATTACCTACTAGTTTTTTTCGGTCTGTACATTCTGGATTCACTCTTTAAATAAGTACTCAGCTTACTGTTTTCTAAAATACGTATACCTATTTTATGCAGCTTCGAAATTGCTTTGTTACAATGTTTATATATGCTTATTCGTATGTTAAATGTTCATATAAACGCTACCTATTGAACCATAATCAGTAAATTACAATTCCACGTCAAGGTATTGATAACATGTTACATGTAATAAAATATGTAGTATCTAAAAGTACTTACACTAAAAATATTTAAATTACGTGCGTATAAATAATACTTCTGCTTATTTTCAGATGGCAAACGGGCACCTTGCTCCAATGAAGGTGAAAGGGTGTCACTGGACAACATAGACAAACATCGATGCTTTTCCTGTATTTGTAAGGTAAGAAATCTTATGTTTATAAGTTGGAAACGATATAATAAATTTTACACATAACGACGAGTAAGTTATATGTGAAAGTAAAATCTGATAATATGGAATACCATATTTTTATTAATGCCGGTTACAATAAAATCAATACAGTCTTAACGTTTGCATATTATCCTCTTTAGGTAATACAATTTTTATTATTTTTAAACTGCAACTATAGGAATATATCCTAATCTATGTAGATCGTATACGTATTTGAACAATCAACTTCGAGCAATTTTTAATTTATAACCTCTGAAGTGAATTATAATGTCTCGATGTATAAATCAATCTTTGGCAGACATTCGCAGTAGCGATGCTTTATGGTACCACAATTCGAACTAATGTTCTGTGAAATCCCATGTTTTATAGATTGTCTATTATCAGAGCAAATATATTTCTTTCCCAAAGGTCGCAATTCAGAAAATGGTGATTTATAGTTATGCTTTGGATAACGCAGTAGAGGTTGTCAGTTATAGCGTGAATCCACTAAAATATTGGTTACACTGGTTAGAGCTGAAACACAAATAACATGGATTGGAATCACCTAAAAGAATTATTACGCTAAATCCCAAATATGGATAGAGTGTTTCATTAAGAATGGGATATAGCTTAATTGAAGATTCCTGAGGTCAGAACATGGGGATAAAGTTGAAATTGAAATAAGCCTGAAATATGTTCTGAATTTATTTGCTGTTCACATATAGACAATTTGGATAAGAAATAATAAAAATCAATTTCATTTTTGTGTAAAAACGATTAATCTGCTAGTCAAAGGACAAATCTGTGATTTCTTACCTCGTGGCATTCTCGACCTTTTAGAACATAAGCAAATACCCCTTACTCTATACCAGTAATAAACTAATGCAAAAAATTAAAGGGTTAAAAGAATTTAGGTGAAAAATGGTCGAAACTTTTTAGGAGCTACGGAAATCATGCAATCCTAAGAAAAAGCGCGCCAAAAAAATTTAGCGATTTTTTCTTCTCGCGGACTTTGAAATTTTTTTTTAAGCTAAGCCATTGCATGGACCAGATAGCTTGTTTATTCTGCTTCAATTTTCTTTTTTTTTTAATTTCGATACGACCATTTTTCATCGAAATATCGGACTTTTAATGGAAAAGGATATTATGTCTTCAATCATCGATATCTCGGCGATAAATGGTCGTACAGAGAATTAAAGGGCAGTTTCTAAAACTGGAATAAATTTCCTATAACATGCTGCCGCAGCTTTTCGGTTTTTTTTCTTCTTTTACACTAATTTTAAAAAACAGGAAAAAAGGATAATTTATTTTTTTTTAGAAAATTGACGGCTAAATTAGAAATATTCGCGAAATACTAATATTAAGCATGACTTTTATTTATTTTATTTTCGATATACCCAGAAGAACCCTGTGAAGTTTCATCTCGATCTAGCGAACCGTTTCTTTGTTTCAAACAGTCAAACTTTTGAATAAAATAAAAGGGTCGTTTTTTAACTTAAACACTTCATAATCATGAATAAAATGGAAAATAACTTTTTTTAAGGTTTTCTCACATTTTTACCGCAAATAATAATAAATTGATGAAAAAAAAATATATATTTTTATGAAATTTTTTTTCAGAGAAGAAAATGGGATAGTTTTGAAAATAACTGTTTTTTAAGTAATTACAGACTATACAAAAATTAATTAGAAATTTTTCTCAAAAAACGGTATGAATCGGGGGCGAAATCTGGTTTGGGTCATCAACTTTAATTTTAATTTAATTAAAAGTTGATAAACAGAAGCATAGAATGGAAAAGCCGAATCGTGCTGGAAACAATTGGATTTTGTTTTCTTCAATGTCCGGAAGGTTTTCCAAAAAATTTCCTAAAATTTTTCGAATTTTTGTTTATCAATTTAAACGTCATTTGCGGTAAAAATGTGAAAGAACCTCAAAAACATGTTTTTTTTCATTTTATTCATGATTATGAAGTGTTTAAACTCAAAAAACGTGACCCTTTAATTTTTTTTCAAAAGTTGACTGTTTGAAACAAAGAAACGGTTCGCTAGATTGAGATGAAACTCTTCTGGGTACTTATATCGAACTGTAAAAGTCATGCTTATCATTAGTCATTTCGTGAATATTTCTAATTTAGCCGTCAATTTTCTAAAAAAACATAATTACCCTTTTTTTCCTGTTTTTTTAAAATTCGTGTAAAAGATGGGGAAAAAATAGTGATGTGTGCGAAAAGAATTTTGGGCAATACTTTGCCAATAATAAAATTTCAAAAAATATTTTTTATTTAACAAATATTTAATTGAAACTGTATAATTGAAACTTGACCTATAGGAAACAGATTTTCCAAACGAGTTCAACACTTATGTATCTCATATTATAAATCCATTTTTAGCGTTCTCCGAGTTATTTACTAATATTTTTTTATGCTCGATATAGTGTATACCGTTACTACCGAGATCGGTGGTAATGTGTATACTCGTATGTGTACTAAATTTTGAAAGTAATATTTCCTACACAATTTTTTTATTGTTTTTAATCTCACTTTTAAGATCAAAAATGAAAATGGTATTTCACATTTGCCAATTTTATTCTACAGGTAACCTCTTTTGAAATATTTTATTTTACATGAAATTATGTCGGTTTGAATTGTTTTGGTTTATTTATTTGAATGGTTCCATTAAGCACTGCCCCATTCTTAACGGACACCCTGCTAATAAATGGACCTTGTTTGTACGATAAAGACCTGATATGTACTAATAATAGCACCAATAATAAATTTAATAAAAATTTGCTTTTCACACAATTTCTCTAGAGGTTCTATTATGGGCCGGCCCGCGACACATATGCAGCGGCTACACGTCAGCGACTTGCTTGCACGGTATGGTTTGCGCAATGAACACGGAACACTGTTGTGGTCACACGATGCAGGTAAGACCGTGCAGGCTGCAGGCACTGCAGGCAGCAATCAGTACGTTTTTCAGGAATATGTATCAAAGCGAAGAATTTTTGGTATTAGCCTCTTTCTATTTTACTTTAGTAAAAAAAAAAGAAATAGACGCAATCATTCAAAATGGCCAAAAAATTGCTTCTGAACAGAAATATATATTATGGACCAAGTGATAAATCGGGCATTATACATAGTGCCCGGTCCCCAGTCATTATGTAAAATGCCCAATATGTGTGTGCAATTTGATAATAATTATTCAAATAATAAAATTGACCGGGCATTATACATATTGTCCATCACCTTTTCGGCAGAGTAATACAAACATATTTAATTACTATTTTTTTTATTATTATTGTCATTTAACTTAAAATAAACTAAATGTTAAACAATTTAAATAATCAGACTCATTATTTGGATTAATTAGCAAGGACTTCTACATTAAGAATCCACTAGTTTCTGCATTTAAAACTTAAGGAAAGTCATATTAAAAATATAGGTAACACAAAACATATAAAATTTAAAACAAACATTTCACAACATATCTTTGTTTTATAGAAGTTTTGACATATTATTATAAAACATAAAATAAACTAAAGTTTAAGCAATCAGACTCATTATTTGGCATAATTAGCATCTAATAGTTTTCAGCACTTTAAACTTAATAAAAATCAAATGAAAATATAAGTAAAATAGAACATAAGATTGAAATTTTATTATCAAATTGCCCAATTGTCACGTAGCAATATAATAATGACCGTGCAATGTGATAAATAATGAAGTTTAGATAGACCAGATGTTATAAGCATTGTAGAGCACTGGTGTGCCCTCGACAATAATGTTGAACTGATGGTTATTCCTGGTTATCAGTTGGTTACAAATTTATGTAGAATTTGTTCATGAAGGCACCATGGTCTACGTTAAAGAGGGTATGCTAGCTAGGAGACTTAGTGTCTATCGTTGAATCTGTTGAAATTCACTACGAATGTGCGGGAGTTAAATTAAAAGTAGGTAATCACACTGTTTGTATACTTACTGTCTACCGCTCCCCAGGAGGTAATTTGAATTTATTTTATAAAGGGGTGGATTCTTGAAAATGTAAGCATGCAATGTCATGATGTCTTCTGTGGTGACAAACATTAATTATCTCGAAAACTCGGCGCAAAAATTGCTCTTTGATGAATTTTTAACTTGTTATAACTTGCAAGTTACCTCCTTAACTCCAGAGTTTTTGCCAATAAAAGTGGTCATACAAGTGTTTCAAAAGTAGATTATATGCTGACAAACATGAATAAATCATGTTGCTATTGTTGCTATTATTGTATAATTTGTAATTATGTTCTTGTAAGTTTAGTGTATGTTTGCGCGCATGTATTTTTGACTTGTCTTATAGATTGCAAATTTATGTCTGTGGGGATTAAATAAATTATTATTATTATTATTATTATTATTATTATTATTATTATTATTATTATTATTATTATTATTATTATTATTATTATTATTATTATTATTATTATTATTATTATTATTATTATTATTATTATTATTATTATTATTATTATTATTATTATTATTATTATTATTATTATTATTATTATTATTATTATTATTATTATTATTATTATTATTATTATTATTATTATTATTATTATTATTATTATTATTATTATTATTATTATTATTATTATTATTATTATTATTATTATTATTATTATTATTATTATTATTATTATTATTATTATTATTATTATTATTATTATTATTATTATTATTATTATTATTATTATTATTATTATTATTATTATTATTATTATTATTATTATTATTATTATTATTATTATTATTATTATTATTATTATTATTATTATTATTATTATTATTATTATTATTATTATTATTATTATTATTATTATTATTATTATTATTATTATTATTATTATTATTATTATTATTATTATTATTATTATTATTATTATTATTATTATTATTATTATTATTATTATTATTATTATTATTATTATTATTATTATTATTATTATTATTATT